TTCATTGTCCTGGGTAAGACACCCCCTCCCTATATCTGTCACCTCCTCCAGCCCCCTACACCCCCTCCCTATCTCTGTCACCCCCTCCAGCCCCCTACGCCCCCTCCCTATCTGTCACCCTCTCCAGCCCCCTACACCCCCTCCCTATCTCTGCCACCTCCTCCAGCTCCCTACACCCCCTCCCTATCTCTGTCACCTCCTCCAGCCCCCATAACTCTCCCTACTCCACAGTGGTGGGGGGGTGGCGGTTGGCGGTGGGGGTGCGGGTTGGTGGTGGAGAGGAGCGTGTGTGACCACCTTCTCTGAGTTTGCTCAGTGTGGTGCTGGTCGGGGAATTGGCAAAGGGGCCTGCTGGTATCCCTTGCTGCTGTGCAGAGAGTGTGGCACCTGCGGGTGGGGGGCATTGGCGAGGGAGTGCCAGACGCAGGAGTGACAGCGGCTAACGCTCTCTCTCCTTTCTCTTCGTCTAGTGCAGAACATTCAGAACATGCCCGAATACTTCGCCGAGAGGCTGTACGACTCCATGAAGGTACTGTTGCCAGGGGAAGCTGGTGGACTTTAGATATGGGGCCGTCAGTATCAGTGACTCTTCTCTCTGGTTTCCGAGCGTTTCCCCCTCTCCCTTCCCCACCACCTCAGCTGGACGGCCCAAGGGTCACTCTCAGGATCAAGGAGTAGGGGGTGAGTGATGCTGCCCAGTTCTGAGTGAGAGACAGAACCGTTTCTTCAATCAGACAGCGGTGAATCTCAGCAATTCACGGACTGAGAGAGAGAGAGAGACAAAGAGAGAAGTACAGGCGACATTGCTGGGCAGCTACACAGCACGGACCAATAAGGATTGTGGTGGCAGACGGTGGATAGAACTCAATTTGTACCTAACCCCACATTGTTCCTGTTCTGGAAGCGTTTGATAGGGGACAGTGTAGAGAAAGTTTTACTGTGTATGTAAACCTATGCTGTCCCTATCCCTGGGAGTGTTTGATGGAGTACAGTGTAGAGGGAGCTTTACTCTGTATCTAACCCTGTGCTCTCCCTGTCCTGGGAATGTTTGATGAGGGGGGACAGTGCAGTGGGAGCTTTACTCTGTATCTAACCCCGTGCTGTCCCTGTCCTGGGGAGTGTTTGATGGGGGACAGTGCAGAGGGAGCTTTACTCTGTATCTAACCCCGTGCTGTCTCAGTTCTGGGAGTGTTTGATGGGGGGACAGTGCAGAGGGAGCTTTACTCTGTATCTAACTCCATGCTGCCCCTGCTCTGGGAGTGTTTAATTGGGGGGACAGTGCAGAGGAAGCTTCACTCTGTATCTAACCCCGTAGTGTCCCAGTTCTGGAAGTGCTTGATGGGGGGACAGTGCAGTGGGAGCTTTACTCTGTATCTAACCCCGTGCTGTCCCTGTCCCTGGGAATGTTTGATGGGGGGACAGTGCAGAGGGAGCTTTACTCTGTATCTAACCCTGTACTGCCCCTGCTATGGGAGTGTTTAATGGGGGAACAGTGCAGAGGAAGCTTTACTCTGTATCTAACCCCGTGCTGTCCCTGTCCCTGGGAGTGTTTGATGGGGGAACAGTGCAGAGGGAGCTTTACTCTGTATCTAACCCCGTGCTGCCCCTGCTCTGGGAGTGTTTAATGGGGGGGGGGAGACAGTGCAGAGGGAGCTTTACTCTGTATCTAACCCTGTGCTGTCCTTGTCCTGGGAGTGTTTGATAGAGGGGATAGTGTAGAGTGAGCTTTACTCTGTACCTAACCCCGTGCTGTCCCAGTTCTGGAAGTGTTTGATGGTGGGGGAACAGTCTAGAGAGAGCTTTACTCTGTATCTAATCCGGTGCTGTCCCTGTCCTGGGAGTATTTGATGGGACGAACAGTATAGAGGGAGCTTTACTCTGTATCTAACCCCATGCTGTCCCTGTCCTGGGAGCGTTTGATGGGGGACAGTGTAGCAGGAGCTTTACTCTGTATCTAACCCTGTACTGCCCCTGCTATGGGAGTGTTTAATGGGGGAACAGTGCAGAGTGAGCTTTACTCTGTATCTAACCCCGTGCCAATAATTCATTTTGTTTGTACAGAGTCTGGGTACCAGGGACAAGATTCTCACCAGGGTGTTGGCAACTCGGTGTGAGATTGATCTCCTTAGCATCCGTGCTGAATTTCGGAAAAAATACGGAAAGTCTTTGTACTCTGCTATTCAGGTAAGGCACTGCCTAATCCTTCCATTACAATGCCCAGCCCTGAGCCCATCGCTGTCATAGAGGTTTACAGCATGGAAACAGGCCGTTTGGCCCAACTTGTCCCTGCTGCCCAGTTTTCGCAATTAGTCTAATCCCATTTGCCTGCGTTTGGTCCATATCCCTCCATACCTATCCCATCCATGTGCTTGTTTTTTAAATGACAAAATTGCACTCATCTCCACTATTACCAGACACACACTGCCATTCCCCGGCTATACCCTTTTGTATTTCTCCCCTCAAACCTATGCCCTCTAGTTTCCCCGACCCTGAGGAAAAGCTGTCGGCTCTCTGCCTTATCTATGCCTCTGCTGATTTTATAAACCTCTACAAGGTCACCCTTCCTACGGTCTAGGGGAACCAAAGTCCCAACCTCTCCTTTTAACTCAAACCTTCCAGTCCAGGTAGCATTCTAGTCAATCTTTTTTTTTCTCTCTAGTTTCCTTTCTATAGCAGGACGACCAGAACTGCACACAGCTCTCCAAATCTAGCCTCACCAAGGTCTTATACAGGTGCAACAAGGACATCCCAGCTCCTGTACTCAATGCTCTGACTAACGAAGGCTAGCATGCCGAAAGCTTTCTCCACTGCCCTATCTGCCTGTGACTCCACTTTCAAGGAACTATGAACCTTTACTCCCTAGATCTCTATGTTCGGAAACCTTCCACTTGTTAGCATGGAAGGTGTTGTGTAGAAGGAATTTTCCTGTTGGCGGTCAATGGCGAGATTGGTACTTGTTAACTCAATCACTAATTGGCCCTTAACCGAGAGTCTCCATCATGGCCATTTCAGGGGGCAGTTAAGAGTCGATCCCATTGCTGTGGGGGTCTGGAGTCACGTCTGTGCCCACACTGGGTCAGGTAGACAGGGCGGTGAAGAAGGCGTTCGGTACGTTGCCTTTACTGGTCAGTATGTTGAGTGAAAGGAGTTGGGATGTTGTAGCTTTACAGGATATTGGTTAGGCTACCTTCGGAATACTGCGTTCAATTCTGGTCTCCCTGCCATAGGAAAGATGTTGCGAAACTTGAAAAGGTGCAGAGAAGATTTACAAGGATGTTGGAAGGTTTGAGCTATAAGGAGAGGCTGAATAGGCTGGGGCTATTTTCCCTGGAGCGTCGGAGGCTGAGGGGGTGACCTTATAGAGGTTTATAAAATCATGAGGGGGCCTGGATAGGGTGAATAGTCAAGGTCTTTTCAGGCAGGGTAGGAGGAGTTGGAAACTAGAGGGTGTAGGTTTAAAGTGAGAGGGGTAAGATTTAAAAGGGACAACGTTTTCACCCAGAAAGTGGCATGGAATGAGCTACCAGAGCAAGTGGTGGAGGCTGGTACAATTACCACATTTAAAAGGCATCTGGATGGGGACATGAATAGGAAGGGTTTAGATGGATTTGGTCCAAATGTTGGCAAATGGGGCTAGATTAATTTTGGATATCTGGTCAGCATGGACGAGTTGGGCCGAAGGGTCTGTTTCTGTGCTGTATAGCTCTGACTCTAAATGGGACTAGATCAGTTTAGGATATCTGATTGGCATGGGTGAGTTGCACTAAAGGGTCTGTTTCTGTGCTGTACAACTCTATGATTACCTTCCCTCATTAGTGTCTCTGATGGGGCCTTTATGACAATCCATGGTGGTGACCAGCCCTGAGACAAGCTTCAAATTCTGGATTTGACTCATTGAATTTAAATTCCACCAGGGGCCGTGGCGAGATTCGAACATTAGCCTCTGTGTTACTAGCCCAGAGACATTTATCACTAAGTCATCGCCTCCCCTTATATGGGCTACATTGGCCAGCATGGAGTGGGGAATATCATGTGCAATTTGGACAGTCTCTCATTGAAGAAATAATACTTGTATTTGCCAAGAAAACCAAAATCTGTGTCCTCCTGTCTTACGTCAAGGAACAGAGTCAGCTGAAGGAAGGTCAGATATAGACACTGATTCAGACCATGTTCAAGTGCAGCAATGAACTGGAGACTATGCAGGTTTGGATTGGCACGTTGCAAGGAACACTGGCACCATACAAATGCCAGGCAATGACCATCTCCAATAGGAGACAATCTAATCATTGCCTCTTGGTATTTGATGGCATTACCATCACTGAATCCCCCCACTATCAACATCCTGGGGGTTACCATTGAGAGAGAATCTAACCATTGCCCCCTGGATATTCAATGTTACTATCACTGAATCCACCCCCCACCCACACCTCCCACCCCACCCACCGCCAATGTCAACATCCTGGGGGTTACCATTGACCAGGAACTGAACTGGACTGAGCCCCATATCAATACAGGGGGCTACAAGAGCAGGTCAGAGGTTGGGAATCCCCTCCTGGCTCCCATGCCCACCACAAAAAAAGCCTATCGACCATCAATGAAGGATACTCCCCACTTGCCCTGATGGGGGCAGCTCCAACAACACTTGAGAAGCATGACACCATCCAGGACACAGCAGCGCCTGCTTGGATTGGCACCACATCCACAAACACCCACTCCCTCCACCACCAACGCTCAGTTGCAGCAGTGTGTACCATCTACAAGATGCACTGCACCGACTTGCCAGGGCTCCTTAGACAGTACTGTCCAGATTGGTGACCTCCACCCCCTATAAGGACAAGGGCAGCTGATACAATGGGAACACCAGCCCCTCTCCAACACACACACACACACACACACACACACACACACACACACACTCTCGCTCACACACGCTCAGAGACACACAGACACCATCCTGACGTGGAAATATATCGGCCGTTCCTTCAGGGTCGAAATCCTGCAACACCCTCCCTAACAGCACTGTGTCCCTACAGCACATGGGGATTCCATCAGGTCACCCCCACTTTCTCGAGGTGGGGGATAATGAGGGACGGCCAATAACTGATTCACTAGCTCAGGAATGAGCTGCTTGTAATTGAATTGAATAGGGTAGCAGGTTTGAAGGGGAGAATGGCCTCCTGCTGGTGTTGGAGGTTTCTCAGTGGATGTGGAGAGGACGTGGAAAGTGCTGCGTGGTGACAATGTTCTCTCTCACCTCCCAGGCCGACACAAAGGGAGATTACCAATGTGCCTTGCTCGGACTGTGCAGAGCGGAGGATCTGTAGAAGCAGCACCTGGAAACTTTTTGGGATAAACCCTTTCGTGATTCCACAGCTGGTCTGTCCCGTCCTACCCCTGAGCTCCACAGAACATTTCTCTGCCTCATGCTGTTACGGACATGTATGTAAACAAGGATAGACACACACACACACACACACACACACACACACACACACACACACACACACACACACAGTCTTATTCAGACAAACAGCCTTACCCAAACACACACAGTCCTTTACATAATCACACACCTAGTCTTTTACATCGTCACACACATGGTCATTTACAGACACACACAGCATTTTACATGCACACGCACACACACACACACACACACGGTCTTTTACACACACTCAATCTTTTACACAAAGGTCTTTTACACACACGTGTGCACACAGTCTCTTATACAGACACACACACACACAGTCTTTAACACACGCACACATCTCTTACACAGACACACATACACACCATCTTTAACACACACGCACG